CTATTTTCTGTAGAAATATTTAAAATACTTAATATGCACCATGAAATAAATGAAAAACCTGTCTGCAGACAATGCATAAGAGGTCATTGGGCCTCTCCTGTTTTGCACTTCCCTGAAAAATCAATTCTTTTTATTAAGTCGCAGAAGAAAAATAACGTTGATATCTATAAACTTAGCTAATCATAACAACTCCATGAGTGCTGTTTAATATCTCCATTATGAAACTGGGGAGACTGAGGCACAGAGGGTAAGTGGTCACTTTTTCAAGGTCGCACAGCTGGTCGGAGGCAGATCAGGATTTGCAGCCATGCAGAGCAGTTCCAGGGCTTGAGAAGTGACGTGGTAGGACATCTCCAAAGAGCTTGTTTGTCAGTACACCCAACGCCGACTCCCTCTGAGCTGGCTGAAGTACAGTGACTATTGGACAGCATCGGCTGTTAATCTACATGACAGTAGACCATCTCATCTTTCCAAGGTGGGTTTGAACTGCTGGCTTTGGGTTAGCTGCTCAATGCTTTACCCACTGCACTTACAGGGCTCTTTAAATTGTCTATAGTTATTAGGGAAATTTAGAAGTACCAGTTTGATTGGATTTGTAACTTTCTAATTTTAAATGTATACTATCAAGTCTTTCAGTCTCTAGCCTACAATGTAGTTTGCAGTGTTGAGTTAAACACAAATGTTATGATAGTCTGTTCCTGCCACGTAGGTCAGGTGAGTGTCTCCTTGTGTGAGCAGTGACAGTGAGTACTAGGTAAGGATTTGGGGGCAAAGGCATGTTCTGTTGGTGGGCACTGCCCACCAGTGTGAACAAAAGAATGGAGTTTTGGAAGTATGCAATGGTTGTAAGTGGAATAAGAATGACTCTCAGAAATGCGACTGCCTTCAGAGGGAACCTAAGTGTCTGTCCCCCTTGCTGATGACAGTACCTTGAATTGCTAACCTGGTTTTGATTGAAGGTTCTGTTCAATCCCTAAACCTGGAGCTCCTGATGTTCTGTTGTAAAATTGTAACCTGCCTTGGACCCTCACACTCACTTTCATGTTTTCAGTAAAGAACAATTTATTTGGCCAACAGCTGCTAATCCACACCAGCTAAAGTGGTATAAACCTGCTGACATTCCATCCAAATTTCAACCAAGTAGTAAGGCTATTGCATACATAAAAATAGGTAGGGCTGTTATATAACAATATCGAAACAGAATATAGATATGACTACATTATACTCGTGTATTATAGTATACATATATATACTAAAATAGAATGTACATACATATTGAAAATATATGTATAACATTATATGTAAGTATAACATAGATATATCTTTTATATAAGGATCCCTGGCGGTGCAAGGGTTAAATACTTAAACGCCCAGGTCTTTGGTGCCTGCAGAGACTAAAGGCAGTTCTAGTCTGTCCAACAGGGTCTCTGTAAGTTCGCTTGGGTTCTTCTGGTATATCACTCATGTTATTCTTCCCTCTCCTCTTTAGGGACACCTTTGGAGATTTCTTATCTCCCCTGAGAATGTTGTTTACTCACGTTAAGTATATATTAAAGAAGTATGATTCTAGCACCCCAACTTCCCAACTCCCCTAACCACAAACAACTAAAAATACTACCCAATTCCATTTCTCTCATGTAAGCGTTGACCCATGGTGACCCATGTATCACAGAGTAAACTGTTTGATATGATTTCTTTGTTGTTCTCCTTACAGGTTAGATTGGCAGGCCTTTCTTCCACTGTCACTGTTCGTTGAGTGCACACTGTTTGAAACACCTAGTGACCTTTAACTGGACCAAGTCCACTGTTGTTTAGTTCACAATAACTCATAGCAACGCTAGAGGACAGAATAGTATAGGTTTCCAAGACTGTATATAATTTTTAAAATATATATAATTAATTATTTTTATTTATTTGTTTTAAAACAGTTTCATTGACACATAATCCATGTATCACACAAGTGATTAGTGCAATCATATTAAGAAGAGTTGTACAATGATTACCACAATCAGTTTCAGAACATTTTTTTCTTTCTTGTGGGATGTACATCGTTATGGTAGTTTTCACCTGTGGAATGACGTGTGTTCAAAGCATCAACCCAACTGTTTCCTTGTGCAAGAAGTGAGAGTGAGCACTAAGAAAGGATATGGGGGGAAGGGCACTTTCTGTGGTCTCCAGTCATCTGTTAGTGAGCATGGCTGAGCAATGTGAACACGAGGCTGGAATTTTGATAGCCTACTGGGTTATCAGCCCAATGCTTAACCTACAATGCCACTAGGGCTCCTTTAAGCTCCAAGTAAATGCCAACTGACGTGAATAAATAAATGAAAGACAAATCAGTTAGGTATGCAGGAAACAACATAATGCCATAATACCAACTGTGAAAACGTGTACTTATCTCTTGCCATAGGATGTCTGAAAAGTGAATGGAGGGGATGCTGTGATTTAACCAGTAAATGCACATTGCTGCCGCTGCTAGCTGTGTAGGAACAGAGCTTCTGTCCAGTGAAAACAATATCAAAGCCTATGCATTGGAGAAAAAGAGTTCAGACTGATATTTTCTCTAAAGCTGGGTGCAAAGGTTAGCTGTTGAAAGTAAAAATATTTTCCAAAATCTGTTAAGAGTCTGAGTATTTACTGTAGCTGGTTGAATATTCTGTTTGAATATTTACCAACAAAGACACAGTAAATGAAAAAGAAATGTCCACAAGTATTTTAAGTAAACTATATACAAAAAAAATGAGTTTTGTACACAAATGAGACAATACGTATTTTTCCACACAGACTTCTGAGAAAAGAGGGCCTGCCCACAGCATAGGAAGAGAATCAGGCTACTCTTTTCACGGTGAAATGTAAGCCGCGGTGGTTCTCCGTGGCTCCTACCCCAGACAACTTACAAGGCCAGCCATATGTTCCTTCTCTAGTAACCTCGAGGAACAAGAGATGCTGGAATGTGCGCCGAATGCTGTCATTTCGTTTTTTTGCACAGTGGAGAAGCAAAGGTAACAATGATCACATCTCTTTTTTTTAAGTTGGTTTTTTCTTCCTGTGGAAGTGTTAATGCTTGGTCAAAGAAATTTGAATAAAAAGGGAGGGTGTTTGAACCAGCAAGTTTGGGCCTGTTGCATTTCCTGTAGAACGGATTTGCATCTGTACCAGCTGGAAGTCATTTGCATGAGGTGTGCTGTAGAAAAAGAATGGGCCACTTGGGTGAATTTGCCTTCCTCATTTACCCCCTTCCTTGCCTCCTCTCTGACTCTTACAGGAGTCTTTATTTTTGTTGCCGCTGTGGTTGCTGGGACACACATTAGTGAGCATTCAGGAAATCAAGATGTCCTAGGAAAGGAAAGCCATTCTATGCATAGTTTGAAACCCCAGGGAGCTAGGTGGTGCCTCCTTCCAATTTCCCAGCCCTCATGGCCACGGACGAGTGGACTCTAAAAAATTCTTGGAAAAATAGGATGAAAAGAAAATGGCTTTTATGCCACACATTTTTGAAGCATCCCCTCAGACTATTCTTCAGTATCATTTAATCCATGCAATTAAGTTTTCATTAGTTCCCACTCTGTACATATCATTCCATTCACCCAGAGACTTCTAAGTAACATGTTAAAGGCACAGGTCTTGTCTTATTGGACATGAGAATCTAATTGCAGAAGCAGGCCAGAAGAATTTAAGTGATATGACACGCTAATTTAGATTAAGTAATCATCTGATATGAATGAAGAGAGCGGGAAAGTATATAAGAATTAGACCCAGAGAAGCAGGAGTTTGAGTTGTAGATCTGGTTTTTGTTTTAATTTTGTTTGTTTGCTTGTCTACGTGCTAGTTTTGATAAAAACACGTATGTGAACTTTGCATAGTGCAGTGGCTCAGAGATTGATCACATCTCCATCTTGTCTCTGTCAGCTGCCCGACCCAAGTGTTTCCCTTCAGCACAGCTCTTGCTTCTGAAAAAGGAGTTGTGAGGAGTAAACAATATTGGTACTAAGTACAGAACTTGGAAAACAATGATCTATTGTTTGTTTTATTAAATATTAGACAAAGCACATTCCTGGGATTTTTGCATACACAAATCACACTAATACCTAACTTACTTGGCGGTTGTGACTGTCAGAGAGAAGGGGAAGGGAGTCAAAGGTTTTTGAGAAAAATATGTGTAAGGAGATATATAGATATATATGTATATATATATAGTTAATGAGGGCAGTAAGACATCATATGTGAGTGTGTGTATACATATATATGTATGTGCATGTATATATGTATGTCTATATACTCCCAAACCCACTGCCACCAAGTCCATTCTGACTCACAGTGACCCTTGTTGGTTCTGAGACCGTATGTCTTCATAGTTGCCGATAAGCTTATCTTTGTCCAGAAGAACAACTGGTGGATTTGAACCACCCGGACCTTGTGGTCAGTAGCTCAACACGTACCCACAGTGCCATCACACACATGTAAGCAAGCGTCTATTATTAAATTTGAAAAGTTGGAAAATTAGAATAAGAGAAGAATATTTCAAAATGTTGAAATAGAAACATACCGAGAGAGGAAGGAGGCTATAGTGAATGACTCTCTCACAGTTTTACAGAAGTGAAACCAACGCTTGCAGAGAGGTCTAACTCGCTCAAGGTCACTCATCAGTAACTGGATTAAATCAGGAAGTCATCTACCTCTGAACCATTGCTCAATATTGAGAAAACAGATGGAGCAACACTAGGTCCCAGAGCCAAGGTTCCATCAAGCTCCGGTCTCCAAAATGTCAATCTTCCTTCAAAAGGACCTGAAGTAGGAAACTTCATCACTGTAACAACAAGGAACATGAGCCTTGGCAGTTTTTACAAAGTGACCCAAAATCTCAACCTGTGTGAGGTGGGATCAGGGTTTGAATGGAATTCTTCCTGAGTTCAAAGTTCACGCTCAGCTAACTACACCCCTTCTTCCAGCTAAAACATATTTTGTGACAACCCCCTCATCATATAGATAGGTGAACTTACTCTTCTTTGCTTCATCTAGCTTGTCCTTGGCCCTTTTTTCGGCCTGCAGGAGCTGGTGGATCCCTTGAGATTGGCTGGTCATAGCTCCTGCTCCAAGCCAAATGATCTCCGTGAGGTCTGGACAGAGCTAAGAACCTGCTGCGAACCACATTCCTCAGACTGTTGTGTCAACGTGGAATTCTAAACACAGCTGTTTGCTATGAACTGAAGATTGGGCCAGATAGCTGGGTCCCAAGAAAACCTAAGAGTGAAATCCAGAAAAACAAGTTATGTTAATATGAGGAACTGATCATTTCAACCAACTTCAGTTTTTGCATTTGAAATGAGGAGACTTCATGGGTGGGAAGCTGCACTTACAAAGAAATGAGTAATGTACCTTTTGGAAGGCCAACTTGCTTACTCTTTCAAGAAACATCGACTTATTTTTTCAATATACAAGATGTGTGTGTGTGCGTGTGTGCAGGCAGTACTAGTTTTAGGTCTTTGTTTCTAGTGATTGAATTTTTTGTTTGATTCAAATTTATTAATATTTTGCACAAGGAAGGCGATTTTCCTTTCTGTGAACATAGAAAATGAAAAGAGGATTTATTCCTTTCTTTTTTAGATTTCAGGTGATAGAAATAAAAAATCCTTTTGAGCATGTGATGTTCTCTAATTGTGCTTTATGCTATAGTTCCACGAGGAGCAATATTAAGGGAAATGAAAACTGTAGATTTTAAAGTTAAATTAAAATGAATTAAACATGCCTTTTATGTTACTCAATGTTGTGCTGAGCATTGTGCTTAGATAGTACAGTGAAAAAAAGCATCTTACTTGATTCAATTTAATCTAATAGGAATGGGACAAATGAGAACATTGCTCACTGTGGAGAACCATAAAATGTCTCCATAGGCACCTGAAAATTTTATTTGAAATGAAAAGCTATTTTTTTGGACTTGTGACTTAAGCCTTTTCTCTGAAATGATTTTTAAATTGGCATTCTCCATCTTATTGCCTTTATAAACGACACCTCCATTGCCTTATCTACAAATACTAGGCTTAATTTCTTTATATGGGTGCGTGTATTTAAAGCGAATTATAAAACGCACTTAGAGCTCAATCCTTTGTGGTTATAATGAGGCTCCCTTGTCTAGCTGAACATAAGAACCTCACTTTCCATAAGGAATAGCTTCTCTCCTGCCACCTCCTGGACAATCATTTAATCATTTCACAACGTGTTTCATTTTCATTACGCAATCCAATAACTAGTACAATCAAAACAGGTAAATCTGTGAAAAACCACAGTTCTCAGCAAACACATTTCCACTTTGAGAACAAAGGTTGGAAGGCAAACCAGAGGGCTAATCCTGAACTTGCTCTAGGCGACAGGCGTGGACAGAACAAGAACCCTAGAAAGTCCAAGCTGAGTAAATGCATTTGTTGGAGAATAGAGACTTGCAGGAGAGACCTGCAGGGAGATGCCATAGGCACCAGGGTTTTCATAGGACTGTCAAGAATTGGTATGTGTTTCTTGGGAAAAGGTGTCTGTTTGGGGAAATTTGCCCAATCTTGAGCTTTTTACCAGCTCTTTCCTGCCCTCCTTTTACGTGAGTGCATGTGCATTTGGGTACGCATACAACTTCTTTATTCTTTTTTTAAAAAGTAGTTTTATTCTAAAATTATACTTTAAGAGTATTATATTTTAAAAGTACAATTCACATATTGAGTAATTCACGCATATTAAGAAAAGGTGTGCGATCATTCTGCACAATGCTGGGTGAGGGCTCCCAAGTGTCCTTGCTGTGTGTGTCTCTTCAACTAGTTGAACTGGTTTTTTAGGAGGCGGAATTTGTGGTCTGAAATATGACTGAGGTTTACACGGCACAGTTTCATGAGTTGTTTTATAATGTCATATTGTCTGTCCTGTTCCTGAGTGTCTGTTATACTTCCCTCAAGGCATCGTTTCTAAAGCCTGTGGTTTCTCCATATATCGCCTGCTTCCTTGGTTCATTTCCTTTTTTCAACCATTATGTCCTCGGTGTATGATTACTGTCTCCAATTAGCCTCAAGCTTAACCTGTCCTGGGCGATCGGTTGGAATATCTTTAATAACTAGAGGATAGAGATCGCTAGTATCATATATAAAATTTTACTGAGAACATTTCAAAGGTGGTTACACTCGTACATTGACAGACAATTGCCAAACGTTGAAGAGGAGCATGTGGGAGCAGGGACATCATTGCTGATGTCAGATAGGTCTTGGTTGAAGACAGAGAATACTTTATCTGTGTTTTATTCACTGTGAAAAAGCATTTGATCATGTGGACCATAACAGATTATAGATTGTGAACAAAAAGAACTGAACATTTCATTGTACTTATATAGAAGCAGTACATAGAACAAGGGGCCAGCTAGTCAAAAAGAGAATACTGCAGGATTTAAAACCAGGGAAGAATTGTATCCTTTCACTGGATGCTGAGCAAATAATCTGATAAGAAAACTGAGACATGCATCAGAGTGGAAGACTCATTAACAACAAGGAGATGGCCTAACCTTGCTGACTGAAGGTGAAGATAGCTAGATGAGTTTACTCAGGAAGATCAAAGATTACTATGGATTATAATTCAAGGTTAAAAAATAAACCCTCATAACTAGAGCAACATGCAACATCATGATAAATGCAGTAAAGAAGGGAATTGCCAACAATTTCCTTTTATTTGTACCCACAATTAATGTTCTTGGAAGCAACTTTCAAGAAATCAAACAATGGATTGCATTGGGCAAATCTGCTGAGAAAAACAAACAATCCATCCAAACCCTTCTTTAATGTGTTAAAAAGGAGCCCTGCTGGTGTAGTGGTTAAATATTGGGCTGCAATGTGCATGGTTGGCAGTTCAAAATCACCAGCAACTCCTTGAGAGAAAGACTGGGCTTTCCACTGACGGGTAAACAGTTACAGTCCCAGAAACCCCCAGGGGGCCACTATGAGTCAGCATTGACTCCATGACAGTGAGTTTGGCTTGGTTTGGGATGCATTAAAAAGCAAAAATATCACTTTGAAGACTAAGGTGTACTTGACCCAAGCAATGGTGCTCTCAATCACCTCATGAAAGCTTAAGAATGAATAAGAATGATCACAGAAGAAATGATGCATTTGAATTAGAATGCTGGTGGAAAATGTTGAATAAACTACTGCCAGAAGAATAATCAAATCTGTCCTGGAAGAAATCATTCTTTGAGGCAAAGATACTATGTGTAACATCCTTTTCACAAGTCATCAGGAGAGACCAAGCCCTGGGAAAGGACACCATGCTTGGTAAACTACAATAATAAGTGGTGTTGCGGGTGAAACTTTGGGCTGCTAACCACAAGGTTGGTGACTCAAACTCATCAGCCTCTCCTCAGGAGAAAGATGAGAGTCTCTGCTCCCATAACATTCACAGCCATGGAAATCTTAAGAAGCAGGTTCCCACTGTATAATAAGGGGAACAGTGAGTTGGAATTGACTCGATCGCAGTGGGTTGGGTTTTTTTAATCTTTTTTTTCAGTGCTTAAAAAAATAGCAACTCTGTACCAAATCAGAATATTCAACTTCACAATATATAGTGTATAATCTCACAAATGAACTCATTTCATCCCTACCGTAGCCTTGTGTGTACGCATTGTTATCACATACCCCGCTGGCTTTACCAATAAGAGACTAGGACGTTCAGCAAGACTAGTGGCCCCAAAACTGTGAGTGGGACTTCATTGACGGACACAAGGTCAGAGTGTTCACAGTGGTAATGGTGGGCTTTAACTTACTTCAAGATCCATGATTTTTGCCCCACACCCTGCTAGCTTCATATACCCAGGAAGAGTATTGCTTCAAACTATTATTTCTGGGGGAAAATGATGAATGAAAACAAAGGACACTAATTGACATTTGGAGCCCCGGTAGCATAGTGGGTCTTAGTTCGAAATTACCAGTGGCTTCACAAGAAAATGAGGAGGATTTCTACTCTCACAGAGAGTTGCTGTCTACAAATCAAAGGAATGGGAGGAGAACCTTGTCAGAAAGTCAAGTTAAGACAGGGCAGGGGAGCAACATCTAAATGTTGGCGGAGACACGGTATTTCTATTAATGAATATGGTGGGTGAATGAGGAGGAGCAACCTCACGTTGGGAAGGGATGCCCCAGTGACTGAAGCTGCCTGTGCCTTTGGACTGAGGCCTGGGGTCCTTCGTTGCGAGAGGAAGCACTTTGGGCCTGCGGAAGTGGCAGTCATTGGACCTGGGGGGAATCCGTGGCTTGGTGGCTATCCAATGGAAAGGGACCCAGGATCACCATATGTTGTGAGAGGAAGCACTTTGGGCCTGCGGAAGTGGCAGTCATTGGACTTTGGGGGGAATCCGTGGCTTGGTGGCTATCCAATGGAAAGGGACCCAGGATCACCATATGTTTAGTGCCTCGATGACCCCCTTGTGTTTATCTGACAGGTTTTGATCTGCTGGGCAGGGATCTGCACTTGTAAGAATTGATCCAGGAAGTTTTCCATTGGCACCAAGCCCCATGCTCAGGGCAAACAACGCTCAAACCATTAGGAGATGGAACCGTGCAGGGCAATACCTCCTGGGATGTGCGGCTCGCATACCGACAGTATCTGGAGTTCTGTGTTATTGGAAAAATTGTTATTATCAATGAATCACCTTAGACCCCAGGGGGATAATTGGCAATTTTTCTTTTTTGTTTTCTTTGAGTTTTTGTTTTCCTGCCTTTTGTTTGTTTGCTGGTTGGTTTGTTGCTGTTGTTGATGGTGGTCATCTCATGGGGTTCTCTTTTTGTCATCAGATGATGTCCAGAGTAAACCAGAGTCATGCATAACCTGTGGACAACCCCAGTCTAAGAACAGTTAGTTCTGATAACCTGGCCCTGCTCAATACTCACCTTCATCAAACAATCACTGAAGACGAGGGTGCTACAGCAAAGTGTGGTGAAGAAAGCAGATGGTGTCTGGCTATCAATTCGAGCAGTGTCTGGGGTCTTAAAGGTTTGTGTTCAAACAAGCAGCTATCTAAGCAAGGAGTCAACTAAGTCCACAGGGAAGAAGCACACCAACCTGAATGATC